TTTCTGCCCCCAGCCAGCCGTGTCCCATCACCATGTTCTGGAAGTTCGATTTGAACACAACGTCACACGTGGACAAGCTGCTGGACAAGGAGGATGTGACCCTGGAGGAGCTGATGGACGAGGATGAYGTCCTGCAGGAATGCAAAGCCCAGAACAGGAGGCTGCTGGATTTTCTGTGCCAGCAGCACTGCATGGAGCAGTTGGTCACCCTCATCACCCACGAGCCCCCCGTGGACATGGACGAGAAGGTCCGATTCAAGTAGGTATTGAATTCCTGCCTCCCTCTGGGTTTGGGAGATCCCAAACTGAGTTTGCACCCTGGTTCTGTCCCCCCTATCAGGGCTGGCCCCTCCTCACTGAGCATTTGGGACATTTCAACATTTGGGGTTTGGAGGGAACTGCTAGCATTTGCTGCTTTGGTTTTTGATGGTTTAACACTGAGTCGGTCTCTGAAAAATCAAATCTCAAATATTGTCTGGAAAAAATCACCTCTCAAATAATGGCTCAAAAAAAATCAACTCTCAATGTTCCCTCAAAATCAGCATCTCCGGAGCCCCCGAGCAGGTTTTTGTGGGAATGGGAAGCACAAGAGGTAGAAATCTCTGAATTCGATGAGTTTGCAATCCCACAGAACAAAGTGAGCTGGAAAATGAATAAAAAATGGGATATTTTCAGTGTCTTGCATGTGCAGTTCCTGCTGATTTCAGGGATCACAGCTCTGGACAGGTCCTGCTACTGCYCAGACCACGCTGAGCTCCTCACAGGGGTTTGCTTTTCACCAAAGTTGTGTTTATGCATTTTGAACTCCATGTATACTCAAAAAYATTGACATTTTAGGTTTGGGGAGTTTGTTTGCTTTTGTGAAGTTTACATAAAAATAAAAGGCTGCTCTGACCATAAATAAATAAAACTGGGCAGGTTTTTCCTGGTGGGAATGGATCAGGGTTGGGGTTGGTGTTGGGAACCCACAGAAATGCCAGCTTCAGGCCTGGGATTAGATCACAGTTGATATTGCTGTTGGGTTGGCTCTTCCCAGGGGAGGGAGTGCCAGGGATTGCAATATCCTGGAATATCCTGGAGCTGCTCTGCAAGGGGAATTGGGGAGAGCTGCAGAGCTGCCTCAACCCCGAGGCCAACAGCACAAGGAGCTGGAGCTGCTGGAGAGACCTCAGAGGGGAACACGGAGCTGCTGCAGGGCTGGAACCCTCTGGAGCCAAACTGGGAGAGCTGGGGGGCTCACCTGGAGAAGGGAAGGATCCAGGGAGAGCTCAGAGCCCCTTTTGGGGCCTGAAGGGGCTCCAGGAGAGCTGGAGAGGGACTGGGGCCAAGGGCTGCAGGGACAGGACACAGGGAATGGCTTCCCAGTGCCAGAGGGCAGC